CGAGGTCGGGAGTGAGCCACCAGTCCGAAGACCGGCGCTCCCCGCCCGAGGCTCCCCATGCGCTTGGATCTTGTTTCTTGATTGATTCTGCCAATCTGTTTTTTTTGATTGGTGAATGGAGGCCATTTACATTGATGGTTATAACTGATATGTACTGGCTCATGCTTATCATGTTATTTTTCTGCTGTTGGTTCCCTGCTTTCCCCTTCTGTTTAACTGCTTTCCCTGCCTGATGATTTTTTGTTGATGTTGTTCTTGGAATTGTGGTCATTTTTGCCACTATCTAGAATATCTTGCAGTACTCTTTGTAGGGTTCATTTTGTGGTCATGATTTTCTTAAGTTGTTGCTTGTCATGGAAGTATTTTATTTCTCCATTAATTTTGAAAGATAATTTTGCCAGGTACATCAATCTGGGTTGGAACTTATTTTCTCTCAGGATTTGGAATACTTCAATCTCTTTTTGACTTGAGGGTCTGTGTTGAGCAGTCTGCTGTGATTGTGATGGGCTTTCCTTTATAGGTGATTTTTTTTTTTCCTCTAACAGCTGTAAATATCTTGTTTTTGTACTGAATTTCTGGGATGTTGATTATGTTTGTGTGTAGATTTATTTTGGTGACAGCTGTTTGTAGTTCTATATTCCTCACTTATATGTGTGTCAGATTGTATTCACATATTTCTGAATTTTTTTTTTTGCTATTATTTCTACAAATAGTGTTTTTATGTCATTTGTGTTGACTACTGTTTTTTCACTGACACCTATCAATCTTATGTTGTTTTTCTTTGCACAATGTTGCAACTGTTGAATTATTAGTTCCTGGCTCCTTCTTGTTTTTAAGTGATGTTTCCTTTTGTGATCACTAGCCACAATCCTATCTTCAAGGTCTGAAAGTCTACCTTCTGTTTTGTTCAGGAGGTTTTGCCACCTTTTAATGGAATTTTTAATTTCCTGGATGTCTCTTTGAATCTGTTTCATGCATTCAAATTATTTGCTCTATCATTCATTCAAGGTTTCCATCATTTTTCTATACTCCTCTGTGTTTTAATCTATGTCTTCTTTAGATATGCTGAGTGATTCTTTCATTATGGTTCTCATTTTTTTTAACCTGAGATATTATTTTTGATCTGATTTCTCTTATAGCCTGATGGGTTTGTTTCTATACTTCAGTTGCTGTCATTTCAGAAATTTCAGGTGTGTGACTTCCAATTTCTTTTATGTTGATGCCTCCTGGAGTTGTTTTGGGTGGGCTGGAGGTCGAAGATTGCATTTTGCTCCATTGTTTTGACATTTTCTATTTAAAAAAAATTATTTTATTTTCTGTGGTGATCCTTTTGAGTTTTGGTATATGTAGCTGTATCACTAATAATAAGGCCTCTCCAGGAACAGTCTGTACTGCAGCAATATCTTCTGTATGTACGAGAGTCTTGGTTTGTGTCCATCCCAAGATCCTACCTTCCCATTTAACTGAGAGTGAGATGATGGGTTCTGTTTGGTTCAGTCCTTAGTCTTTTGGTGTATGGTTGTGTTGAGATTTTTACCCCAGAGCTTCTCAATATTGTTACACAAAGGAGAATAACTGATTACAACAGCTATGACATCCTAGCTACAGAAGTACAATTAGTAATAAACACAATTTAGGACCTGACCAACTGTAGTAACTATTGATTTCATACTTTAGACCATAGGAACAAAGTCTATAGTTATATAACTGCTCAATCATAAATTAGAAGTTTGTATTCAAAGTGTTTCCCCTTGCTAGACTGGACTTACCCTGAGTTCCTCCAGAGAAGATAGTTGCTGTGTCCTGAGCACTTCCCATGCTGGCTGCCCAGCAGGCAATGTAGGAGTATGGCCCAGCACCAGGGTTCCTCCAGACTGAGGCTGCCTGGTTGGCACAGGGATAATGGGTGGGGTTTCTCCCCTCTTTCATGGCTCACCAAATTCCTGAGGCTCACTGTCTCTCCTGTGATGGTGGGGATGTGGGGGATGGGATGTATCCCCTCCCAAGTACTCACTGTATCTCCTGAAGCTCATCAAGGTTCACAATTGCTCCCTGTTTACAACTCTTGATAGACACTTAGCTTCTGAGGACGTGGAAGACATTCCATTGTTTCTGCTTCCACTCTTGCTGCTCAGAAGTCAGTCACTAGCAACCTGCAGCACTTGCTGGAGAATTTTGTTTTGGCTGCTGTCAAGAACCCCAGTCTCGTTTTATTAAAGTTTGATGAGAGTGGTGATTTCTCTTAGTGCCTTCTCCCTCTTCTTTCTGGTTTGGATTTTGGGAATTTCTCATTCTGAGAAGTCTCATATCTCTCAGCAATTCTAGAACTTTCTTAGCAGTCATGTCTTTTACTATTATCCTTTCTGTTGTTTCTTTCATATTGTTCTGTAATTCCAATGACATGTGGATGAGGCCTTCTCATAGTTTCCTCCACACTGCATAAGCTTTTAAAATTTTTTTATTTTAAAGAGAAGAGAAAAAAAAGAACAATAGCAAAATACCAACAACATAGACAAAAACAAAACCAAGCAATAACAATAAGAATGATACAGAGTTTCAGAACAAAATAATAGCAATTAACTGTGGTTGTTATATTACATATTGTTATTTTCACCAATGCTGCTCAGATTACCAGATATAAAATACAAGATTAATCAAATCATTAAAGAGAATAAAAAATAACAACAAAATTTAGAAATGGTAGAGTTTCACTAAACAACAATGGTTGTTATATTTCATATTGTTGTCTTCAAATTAGTTGTTCATATTACCAGATATAAGCATGCAAAATTTGTCAAAAAATTTGAAACATTGAAAGAAACAGCATTAACTGTTTCTTTCAATAAACCATAAGCATGAAAAATTGGTCAAAAAATAAGGTGTTAACTGTCCCTTTTAATAAACCATTAGATGTCAGCAGTACATGTCTATCTCCATGCACTAAACTAAAGTCAAAATTGTTCAAAGATCTAAATATTAAAACAGAAATACTAAATCTACTGGGAGAGAAAGTAGGTAAAAATCTTGAAGACATAGGGGTAAGCAGAGAGTTCATGAACTAAAACTAAACTGCATGGGATATAATTCAAAGAATCAACAACTAGGATCTCATCTTATTGCATAAGCTTTTTAAAAAACAATTTTCATATTTTCTGCCAACTAAATTTGTTCCTAATTTATCATTTTAAGTGGTTTCTTGCTTCTTGCTCATATTTTTAAGACCACATATTTCTCTGTCTATTATTTTTATACCCTATTTTATGTCACATTATGTCTTTTATTTTATGTCCTGTTTCTGATAATTCAATGTCTGAAGTACTTAAGGGACTCATTTTTTTTTTTTTTTCCAGTACCAGGAATTGAACTCACGACGTCGTGCTTGCCAGGCAGGCACTGTGCTGCTGAGCTAAATCCCCAGCCCCCTTAAGGGCCTCATTTGGTACCTGAGGTTCCCACTGTCTCATTTATGGTGCATTATATGATTTGTGAAATGTTTGACTGCAAGCTTATTTTTCTTGAGCTTTATCTGTGGGAACTGTTTGGAGGTAACATTTTGACTACTCTCTTGTGTTAAGGAGATCCACTTTTGTGGCTAATGTTCTGAAATGGAATCTGGCAATTTTTCTTACTTTGCGTCAATAGGGGCTATAAAGGTTCACATTTTAAAGACTCGGGATACTAGAATTCATTGTTAGTTCTGTTAGCCTTGCTTTGTACATAGTCCTGTCTGAAAATCTCTCCAAATACCTCAACTAAGCATATCACCTGTTTCCTGCTGGGTTCCTGAGAGACATCATGTAGGTAAAGTGCATTTAATAAATGCTACTTAATCCTGTTATTGAGGAGATCACTTTCTACTTAGGGAAATTTTCAGGTAAGTTCAGGAAAAAAATTCTAAGAACAAGAGACATATGCTTCAAAAAAGATATGTGCAGAGAAAAGAGCAGTATGAGAAACTCTTTCATTTTCCACACCCATAACTCTCTCTGCCTTGCTAAGGAAGCTATGATGTCTCTCACCATCCTCCCACATCCTAATACCCCTTTTAAGCTCATTTTTATCAGTATCCTCTTCCTTGTCCTTCTGTCACTTACTTTGAAGGGCCACAAAATGAGGGAGGTACACAGCTGCCACAGCTCCCTGCTCAGCTTTGATGTCAAAGAGAGGTCCTGCAACCATCCAGGTGTCCTGTAGGTCATGTATGCTCAAGAATTGGTCCCAGGCACAGAATTGAATCGCCATCATCACTTCCCTTCTCACCACAAAGCTGAGACCTGTGTGGGGCCAGTGGTAGTAGCCAGCCATAGGGAAGTGAACTCTGGGAGGAACAAGAAGAGGCAGACACTGAGTTATGCAAGTTTACTGAGTACCTGCTGGATGCCAGACCCAGTGCAGGGATTTGTGGATCAGTGGAGAGGTTGCAATCCAACTAGATAGCCAGAAGGATTTGGGTTTGGGCCCTGGCTCCTTTGTTCTCTAAATGTGGACCCTGGAGAATGTGCATTCATATCCTTAATCTCAGTTTTGTCATATGTAAACAGGAGTAACATCAGCACCAATATCATAGAGTTATAAGTGGTCAGTCATTGAATGTAAAGTGACAGCTTAATGCATGTTGGGAACAGTGCGCTATTCCTAGTTTGATGACAACAAACAGCAGGATAATGAAATAGGCAGTGTTCTTTTTAAAAAAGGAATTGTTTATCATTGTAATATCAGTGATAACTCTTGGAGTTGAAACCAATGCTTTTCAGAGATATTAATGGAATCTCAAGACTCTCCTTATGTTAGATGGTGAAGTGGATAAATGCCAGTTTCTGTAGGTAGACATTGTAAGTTTATTACCTTCCAGATGAGAGAGGGACTGTGCAGTATGCTGTGTGTTAATGTGTTATTTAAGAAATTGTGATTATGATTATGGAAATGTATCACTTAGAAGACAAAACCCTGGGGCAGCAAGTCTATCACATACACATTAGTATTTCCAGTTACTACTAAAGTTAATGAGCTAATAGGGTTAGAGCAACTATTAATAAAACAGAAGCATACACATTATGAGGGATCAAAATGACATTTGAGACAGAAAGCAAATATCACAAGTGGATTTTGTGCATATCATGTGTAGAATAAATCATGAACTAGAACACATTATGGAGAATTGAACACATCTGGAAAATGGTTTTAGGTGGTATGAAACACTACCAGCTTTGTTAGATTCATAATGGAATGGTATTTATGGGGGAAAAACTTTTTACTTTTTGAGATGCATAATGCAATACTTAAGGATGAAATCATCTGATATTGTGGGTTGAAAATACTGTAAAAACAAGAAAAGTGGAGAGAGAACAGCTGAATGAATTTAGCAATATCAAGGCTGAATCTGGCTTATGGGGAAATTCTTTACTCTACCTTTATGTAGAGCTGAAAATTTTCATTCAAAAACATATCTTTCCATATTAGAAGCACTCAGTGAGTGTCTTATTCTTATCCATTCCTGCTGATTTGGAAAGAGGGGAGCAACAAATGGTTATAGTGTGGAGCCCTGTCTGTGGGGACCCTGTGTGGGGACTGTGGAGGGTGAGGCCAGGCTTGGTAGCCAGAACCTCTCACTCACCGCCACAGGCTCCCATCTTTGTTAACCAACTCTATGGGCAGAGGCCCTGTGGGGTCACAGAAGTCATCTTCAATGTCCAGAGCTTCCATGTGCAGGTCACCTAGGGAGTCAGGAAAAGACAGATGAAACGGTTGCCACTGAGCTACCTGTGGGGAGACTCTGTCTGAGACAGTCAGGGAAGTGGTTAATTCTGAGATCTCCTGCCTGGTGTCCCACATTAGGTTCATGGTGGGGCTTTTCCTGAGGCTGGCCTGCCTGGCCACGGCAGAGAGTATGCCTGCAGCCTCTGCCCCTGCTCCTGAGGCTGCTGTTTGCAGACCTCTTTTGTTCATCTGTACTTCCCCACTGGTAGGGAAATGTCACTCTTCCCAGCATGTGCCAGGTTGGTGAGTTGAGAGAGAAACCTGGCTCAAAAGACAGATTAACAGACAGGGAGGGGGAGTGGATTCTCAGGCCTCAGCAGCTCAGAATGGGAGATCAATGCTGTGGTGCAGGGGCTGGTGCAAACCATAGACATAGGAAAGGGCAGCATCAGTTCCTGAGGCTGAAAGAGGGAATAAAAAATTGTCCTGAGGTAGGATAGAAATAAAAGATAGGTAGAAAGGACAGAAGAAAATCATAACTAAGAACATATACTTTAAGAAGACGGCAACTTCCATGACCAGTTGAAAACCCCCACAGTGATTCATATCAGCATTCTGTTGGTTAAATTTACGCTCCTTTCCTGCCTGACTCTTCACACTCACAGTTCCTCAGGAATATTGAAAATCCATAATCTGGCTTAACTGAGAAAGTAAAGAGCAGAAACCCAATCCTAAGATAAAGGAACAGGTTGAAGAAATTAAAAGAATGCTTAAATTAGCCATCTAAAAAACTGGGCTTATACATGTAATATGGGCCGGTACCTTTTTCGAGAGCAGGCCATATTTCCCTGGGGTTTCCACTCCCTCAAGAGAAGAACAAATGTTTCCCATCACAGGAACTTTGGTGGCTCTCTCTGTTGAGGGTCCACAATATACTTCTTTGCATGTGTGCCTTTTAATTTCTACCTAATAAACCCCTTCCTGTGCCTCTTACTGAATAGTCCTAAAAATTCTTTTTTTTTTTTTTTTAGGGGGAGATAGGAGTTAGGGAACCTGCAAGCTTATTGTACAATTGGGGTGGGTCAGGATCCTTATCTCAGCTTCAGAAATACCATCAGACACAATCCAGTGACACTTCCATGTTTTATTTAAAATTGGACAATTTTACTTGGAATAGGTCCTACTGAGGTGGTTAATCTGCCCTGTCCCACCTAGGGTGCAGGGGGATGGAGGACAAGACCTCGCACGGTGACACTCCCCCTAGTCATAAGGGTCCCAGCACAACTCAGTTACATACATACCTAACTGTGGTCTCTGCTGCATGAAGGAGGATGTGCTATAACTCTCTTCTGCTTCCTCCGGGTCTTCAGGAGGGATCCTTGTATCTGGAATTCTGCACATGGCAATATCCAGTCTTTCTCAGATATCAGGGAGGTCAGGGCTTTCTACATAACACCCTCAGTTAAAATTCAGTGCAGTCAAATCTGAATTCTGTCTCTTGTTTCTTCTGACTGTGTGAGTGGCCCTCCATCTACACAGGTACCCATGCCAGAACTGGGGCATCATCCTAACTCCTCCCTTGCTGCTGTGACTTAAATGTGGCTCCAAAAGCGTGCACATGGGAAAATGACTTCCCAGTGCAACTGTGTAGCATTCCGTGAACTCTAAAGGGTGATGGGGTTCTGGGGCTTTGCCCTCATGAAGAGGCTACTGTTATTATCACAGGAATGTTTTTGTTGTGGCAAGAATAGAGTTGTCATAAAAGTGAGCTGGGCCTCCCCTCTTATTCTCTGATGTGTGTTCTGGCCCTTCTTCTTCTACCATATTATACCATATAAAAAGGCCATTCCAGATTTAAGCCCTTGTACCTTGGCCTTCCCGGCCTCTATAACAGTAAGAAATAATTTCTTTTTCTGATTAATCACCCAGTCTCAGATATTCTGTCATAACTGCACAAAATAAACTAAAGCATTTGCCCAACCTGACCATCAGTCATTTTTACAATACCCCCAAATAGCTCTCCTTGTATTCTACACTCTGCACTTCCATGGCCTCCATCCTAGTACCAGGTCCTGGCATCTGTGTCCTGAACCACTGCAGCTGCCTCCAAAGTGTTTTCTGCCCTGGCCCTCTGCTGTCTGTTTTCTTATAACTTGAACATATCACTTTATTGCTGATCCCTACAATATCTCTCCATTGCTTTTGGGGGAAACAGAAAGTGTTTAACAAGGTCCAAAGGGCCTTGCTATGGGCCCTGTCACCCTCCACACCACCTGTTCCACCTTCTCCCTGCTCACTGACCTCTAGGCCAGTGACTCTCAAACTCAGTCTGCTTAAAATCAACCAGGACATACTGTTTAAAAAGATTCCACTGAAGGACCATGGCCTCATCACAGAGTTTCTGCCTGAGCAGGTCTGGATGGGGACCAAGAACTTGCTCTTTGATGATGGTGATGCTGCTGTTGGTGGCCCCTACACTTTGAATAGTGCTACTCCACACACCTGGCCTGCTTCTGATCCTACACAGAGTTAAGATGTCTTCTCCCTCAGAGTCTCTCCTGCCTCTAATCAATGCTTTCTCACCCCCTAGTTAGGCCTTCCCATCTTCCACAGCTCAGTTCAACTCCTTGGAGCAAGGTTAGTCAGGCCTATCAGTGCATATACATTAACCCCAGGTGCAATTACACAAGAATGTGGGAGAACTGGCCCAAGTCTCCTTGGTGGACCGAGGGATGATGGGCTTCATCTATTTTGTTTACTATTGTGTTTGAGATCCCCACATAATGGTTGATGCACAGTGATTTGCAGAAATCACTCGCTTAGTAATGAATGACCCCCTTTTTGTTTTTAAGTCGGGGAACAAAGCCCTTCCCTTTCACTGAAGTGAGGCACAGCAGCCAGGAAGCTGAAGACAGAAGAATTTTAAGGTAATGGATCAGAATATGTCCAACAGGGAGCCCATAGGGTCTTAAGCCCATTCCCTGGGAGCTAGAGATGGACTTTTCCTGCCCTGAAGCTCCCTCTCAATCCTGGAGGTTGTGTACAGGTGTATGTTGGTGGAGGGGGTGACAGTGGTGATGGTGACATGATAGTGGTCTTTCTTCCAAGGGTCGTTCTGTGTCTTTACCCTTGTGTTCCCCCGTCTTCACTGTTGTCATTGTTTTAACATTTTCTGTTCACTGAAGGGAACCTGCACTTGTGACCACTGGTTATCACATCATAGTGAAGCTAGAGCATGAACTCACTTTCTAATGAAGGGTTTAATCAGACAAATGATGTGATCCTATTTCACTAAGTAACCGAAACACATATGTCACTGTGGTTGCTGTGTTTTCATGGTTTTTTTTTTTTTTTTTTTTTTTTTGCTAGCTCTCTATCTCTCACACCCCAAGACTCTTTTCCCATCTCTTAGCTCCAGACCAGATTGAAAGGCTCAACCCTCAGCTTGTGCTGTCCAGAGAGAGATCCAGTTCCATCCCTTACTGTCCACTGGAGATGAGCAGCTGTGGTTTCTCTTGCTCCCCAATCCTCAGCTCCTCCTCATTCAGAAGGGTAAGGTCCAGCCTGCAAGAACAGAGAGATCTTGTTCTTGGAAACTCCTCACATTCCCAAAGTGCGTAGGGTACACAGTATCTGCCAGCTGCTAAAGGAATCTGGCAACTGCTGAAGGAATCTGTTGATATTACTTTCCCTGGAAATTGACCTCTAAGATGGAGGTAGAGTGAGGTAGTTTACTAGCAATTTTCTTGTGCAAATACACATGTGTGTGCTCACAGGTGATCAATATGCATCTCTTTCCCAACTGGGTAAGCCTCATTCAGGAAGTAAGGGCTCATATGTGCTCATTGTCATATTGACAGGGCCTGAGCCTGTGGTTAGCATGTTAGAGGCCTGCCACAAATAGATGAATGTGAGTAGATGAATGAAGTGTTGATCCAGAGTGAAGTGAACATGGATGTCCTTTAGAACATGCACTTCATAAATAAATATCATTTGATTAATTTCTTGTTATTGTATCACCCTATTTTTGGGAGCTGGGATGGAAAGCAGAACCATACACATGGTAGGCAAGTGGTGTACCATTAAGTTACATCAACAATAACTTTACATTCTTTTTATTTCATTATGATCTAGAGTAAGCATGGGAGTTCCACTTATTAACCAGGAAACTGAGTCTTACAGAAGACTGTTACTTGGTGGAGTCACACAGCATGAGTAGCATAGCTAAAAGGAAGCCAAGGCTGACTCCACCTTTGTCTATTTTTCTTCTCTTTGCCCATCCCAGGGCCCCATAGCCTTACCATAGCAGTGTGAGTCGGCAGGTGGGGTTCCTGAGACCCTCAAAGAGCAGCTGCACACCATAGCTTCCCAGCTCATTCTGCTGCAGGTCCAACTCTTTGAGGCTGGGGCTGGTGCTGAGCACAGAGGCCAGGTCCTGGCAGCAAGTGGATGTGAGGCCGCAGTGAACCAGCCTGAAGGAGAGATGCGCATATGTCCATAGTCACTGTCTCCAGCATTCACTACCCTGGGCACCAGGAGTCTGGGTACCTTTTCTATTAGCTGTAACCCTTTGGTGTCCTGTGATGACATTAGAGGAAGACAGACTATCTTGATTTGGAGTGGCCTGGAAATTCTTTGTTTTCTTTTTGCAGCCCAGAGGGCTTCAGGATGCAGGCACCCATCCTTTCTAATTTCTGTGCAATTCACTGAAATCTTATCATGCAACATATGAATCTTAGATGAGTCCTATTTAAATACCTGGGTTTAGTTTTCAATCATATTCATCCTGCCATGTACTCAGAGTCAGTGGACATACGATGTCCAACTAAGTTTCAGCATTAAGGGCAGCTCTCAGTCTAGGAGGAGAACTAATGAACTTCTCTCTGTCTTAAGAAGCAAAGTTGATGGAGACTATGATAGAGTCAATCAGAACTGGAATGTGGAGTGTGTGCCGTACTACATCAGTGCCATGTCTGTTACTCTGCACACTGTGCTGAGCAGTGGTGGTAAGCTCTCTAGCCTGCCTTATCTTATCTGGGTGGATAATTCTAGGTGTCCTGTAGCTATAAATACTAATGTATTGAGCTCTGGCCTGTTGGTATGCTACTGAGCCTGGGGAAGGGCCTGTCCGTTCTGTTCAGGACGGCCTGAGTTTGCACTGTTAATGGGCCGAATATCATATGCTAGGAATGGGACAGTTCATCTTATAGGAAAACAGGATGGAAGGGCAGGTTAGTTTACTCTGTCTTTCCAGATGAAATCCTTCTTCCCCCTTTCAAGCTTTTCTATGCTGCAGAGATTTACAGAGATGCACAGGGAAAGTACTAACATGGGGAGCAGTCAGGGTGGAGGCTTATCGTGGTCTTTTCAATCTCATTTAACACTGTACCCCTCGATTAGCACAACCGCTTCAGAGGGCAAAATGAGGAGAACACACAGTCGTTACCCAACAATTCTCAGAATTTAGAGTAAAGATAGATACTACACCATGTCACAGGATGCATGAAGGGAAATGTTAACTGCAGTTCTGTGTATTGGCACAACCTAGAGATAACCCAGATGTCCATAAAAGGAAGTGATTATATCCATAATGGAGAATCCACATAGTGAAATTCGACACTGCCATTAAAAAGAATGAAGCATCTTGTACTGACATAGGCCATCTCTAATATGTATTAGAAATCATCAAATTAAGGCCAGGATAGTGTTTGTAGTACATTATTTATGCAAAAAAAAGGCTGCGTGTGTGATATGGGCTATACATACTTGGGGTCCCTGGGAAATGCTGTCCTGGGTCTCTGCTTTGAGGTCCCAGCCCAACTTCTGCCATGCCATGGCTGCATATGCTTAGGTTCCAGCAAAGCACTCAGGACCTCACGTGCAGATCAACCTGCAAGTTTGTTACTTAGTACTTAAAGGGTCTTGAGTAAAAGAGGGCATGGTGTAAATGGATTATGATGTCAAGCTTTAATGTCAGACTTATTTTCCAATCCTGGTGGTATTGCTTTCTGCCTATGCAGCCTTAGGAAAACAGTTAAGCTTTTGACTCACCTTTGTCATCTGTAGATAGTGAGGATTAGATATTATAGGTGTGACAGAGTCTTTAGCCTTCCAGGAACGTCTGATCCTTGATATTAGGAGATTGTTCCAATTGGTTTCTCTTCCTACCTTCCTGTCCCATTGACCTCTTTACTCAGAATTATCAACCGGAGAAAGAAGCAATGGGTCTACAAGGGGAAGAATTGTGGGCAAAAAGAAGGGAAAGAAGGGCAAGTAGGATCAGAGATGCAGATAACATCCCTCAGTCTTCAGCAGAAGCCAAAAGGAGAAACTGATAGCAGCTCCTCAAGAGTACACTAGTGTGCATAACTTTGTGCATCGGGGGCAGAGGTCAGGAGAGGAGAGAGATATGTCAATAATCCACTGTTGTTTATCTGTGCTCAGGGATGTGGCTCTGTCATCCAGATGAAGATGGTAGCAGAAGACTAAATTAAGTGGACACCAGTGAGCTCAGCTGTCTATGGCTGTAACCCTTGCCAAGCAAGAGGGCCTGTTACTAGGCAACTGATGGCTGGTAAAGACCGACAAAGAGCAAATAGTAACTGCTCTGAATACTTCAGCCATTTAATCCTCCGAGGAATCTTAGAAAGTCAATACTGTTGCCATCCTTCCCTGTGGCATATTGTGAAAATGTTCACAAAAGTTCCTCCCTTCCGACCTAGACTCATGCCCATTGCTAGTGATCACCCATCAAGAAACAGAGTACTCATCTGCATTTAGAGTGTGGATTTGGATGTCATAGGTTCTGCTTTGACTGCTGGGAAAATAGCCAAGGAGACTTTATGAGAGACTTGTGAAGAACTTGGCTTTCTAGGTGCATACGGAGCCCTGTGACCACATCCCTCTATCCAGCCATGTGCGAGTTTCCACCTGAGCCTCCACAAGCCACTGACTTTCTGTGAGTTCCTTCTCCTCCACAAAGTCCTGCCCCCTTTTCTGCCCCTTTCTTTAGTCTACCAGATGGTCATCTGCTCCTTCCACCTCCGCACAATCCCTGCAAGGCAGTGTCAACACGGGAGGAGCAATTACCTCAGTCTCTGAAGTTTGCAGCTTGGGTGTTTCAGACCGAGGCAAAGGTGCTGGGCTCCAGCATCTGTTAGCATGTTGAAGTCCAACTCCAGCTCAGTCAGGGTCTGGCTGGTGCTCAGACCAAAGGCAAGGTGCTTGCAGCCCTTAGCTGTGAGCCCACAGCCAGCCAACCTGTGGCAACACACAGCTATGATGTGCACGATCAATTCTTGGTTCAAAAACCACCCACAGTACCATGGAGAACCTAGTGCAGACCACAGTGGTAGGCTGTGTGCAGGCTGATAAACCCCATCCCTCCATGCTACCCCTCGCTCCTGCTTACAGGAAAGGCATAGGTGTTTGGGAAGCCTAGACATAGACACAAATAACAGTAAGTCATGTTTTGTTCAGAACTCTCTAAAGTTTTCCTACATTATTTAGAATAACATTTGATGTCCTCATTGGGGTCTACATGGCCCTGACAACCTGGGTTCAGGTCATCTTTCACCTATTATCTCTTTTAGCTCCACCCTCATGGAGCTCTTTCCTGCTTGGTAACCACCCCAGCGTTAGAGCATCTGTTCATTCTTATCTCTGGAAGAATCTTACCTGATGTCTCATGGTTTGTTCCCTCTCCAGCCTCAGGTCTTAGCTCATAGGGAAGGGAACTTGGTGAAGTTTTGCTTTCACGTCCTCTCTTTTCAAAATTGTATGTCTATCCCTAGAGTCCCTACTCTTTCTTTTTCATTTAATTTTTCCATCACCCACATCTCATAAGATGTATCTTACTGATTTTGTTGGCATTTTCTCCTCTTTCTCATTTGGAATGTGAGCTCCACCAGGAAAATTTTCCTCCTTCGTTACTCTCCATATCCCTTTGCCCACAGCAATGCATTTCCTTCATGTTTTATGGGTGAACAAAGGAAACAGAATTGGAAAAGAGGAAGTCAGGTGAGGCTGAAGGCAGAGGAATGAGGGACTGATTGAGACAGGAAAGTGAGGGAGTCACTAAGGTGTGGATAGAGGCAGGGGATACTCCAGCTTTCAGAACAGACCTAGAATTACAGTGCATTTTTAGTTTAATCATTGCATAAAGGTAAAGTTTTAGAGTAAAACTTTATTCCCATCAAAGTTCTCATCACTGCAAGATGTGCTGTTGGGATTCCACTTTCATATCCCAAACTCTCCAATCTTATTGAGAAAATGTGGTTATGCACCTCACTGAGAAGGCTTGAGGATATCTGAGTGAAGGCGGTGGGTGCAGTGTTCTGTGTAAATGCTCTGGAGCCAGCCTAACATGGGTTCAGGTCTGACTTCTTTCTGGTGCTACTTGAAGATTATGGGCAGGTTTCCTTATCTTCACTTGTAATTTGTTTGCCTGTAACACGGCAATTGAAGGGAGCCAATGAAGGGAGGTCACGTGTATCCTGTCCTTGGGAGAGTGCCTAGCAGCACATCAGTGCTTACAGCATGCTGAGGCTGTGGGCCTGGAAACTCTCAATATCGCTGAACCTTTGAGCTTCCATGTGTTACCCAGTCCTTCTCTACCCCTCCTTCCTAGATGATTCCAAGGATTTTCCATGGGTGTCTTTCTTTCCAGGTCCTCCTACCCTGCTCTGATCTTTCTCCTCTGTGAATCTTCTTTATCTATTTAATGTGATAGATTTCAATTCTTCCTAAGGAAAATCTCCAGAATTCTTGGATTTTGGCTCTTTCATGTTTTTCAAGAAAGATTCAAAAGTGAAATAAAAAGGGAGTGAAATAAGACAGACGTAGAAGTATACTGCACAATCTTAGGTGTTTGTGAAATCTTAAAAAGCACAGCACACAGAAGCAAGTGTAGAGTGTTGGCTAAGAGAGGGGCGAGAGGCAGGAGATCCTATTTCCTCTGCCTGAAACTTGCTCCTCCCACCCGATGCTTCACTTTGTCAAATTCTGTTTTCTTTAGCTCTCTTTCAAGCCACTTCCACCAGGAACTCTGGGCCTGTTGTTACCCTTTTCCTAGTATAATTTCTTGATTAATATTAGTCTCTCTCTAATTACACGAGAAAAGAACATTGCCTTTGATTGTTTCTCATAGCATCCCCAGCATGAGTCACCCTATGTGATCAGAGAGGCTGTGGATAAATACTTGATAAATACAGAGACCAAACCCATATCTTGGACTCAACTTCTCTCTTCCTTTTTCCACCCAGCCTGCTCCAGAGGAGAACCCAGTCCAGACTCACCGCAGGGTCTGTAGGCAGCAGCGAGGTTGACCCAAGGTCTCACCAAGACTCTGCACAGCAGACAGACTCAGTGGATTTCCACTTAGGGCCAACTCTTCCAGGCTGCCAGTGCTCTGGAGAACAGAGAAGAGAACCTTCCAGCTGGCATCGGTGAGTCGTGCCCACGTGGACCTGAGGGAGAAAGAGATGTGAGCTGCATGTGCAGGATCTGAGGTGCACAGCCGTGTGTCAGAGTGGGGCTCAGTCCTTTGCACACCAGGCTGCTATGCACAGCAGTGCCCCCCAGGGCTGAGCTGCCTCTCCACCTGCACTTTTACCCTCCTTGGCTAGGTTTTGCTTCTCTGTGTGGCTCTTCGCTCTATAGCCTTTGGCAGTGCATGCTGTTGTGTGCATTGTAGGCGTCTACTTCTGCCTCATTGTGGAAGTTCCTCATAGTTGGCCTCTTTCTTTGTCTGTAGTGCCCAGCATAGGGCCTGCATAGTGGGGGACCTTGGTAATTGCACAGCCTTCTTCTCTTTGATGGAGACAGTCCTGATTTCCTTTGGTACAGAATCCAGAGTCTCAGAAGCTAATAGGAAAATGAGGAGATGAATTGTGGGAATGAAGCCTAGCAAATGTGCTTTGAGGATGATCCTATGATGGGATGTTCCACATGGTCATGATACTGTTGTGCATGTTGTTTTGCATGGATCTTTACTCCTTTTAAAGGATATCAAGACCACAAGGATGGTCCACAGGTGAGAGATGGCAAAATAGGAATTTTAAAACACTTATTAAAAATTTTTATTAGTACTGCTATGCTGTGTGTAATGATCACATTCATTATGGGGAATTTCTACATGTTCATAGTATATCTTAATGCTTTTATTCTCCCTTTCCCCTTTCCTCTCTTCCATCCTTTTCCTCTCCACATTTTTAAAATTTATTTCCATTTTTCCTCATTCTTTGTTTTTAAATCCCCTTTCCCTTCTTTCCATTCTTCCTTCTCTCTTCTGTGTTCCCCTTTCCATTTGAACACATTCTTCCCACTTCCCAATATCTATCCACCACTTTGCTCTTTGTTCACCTTTAGGGTTTCTCACACAAGAGAAACAATGCAATATTTAAACTTGTGTATCTGACTTATTTCAGTTAAATTATGGTCTTGAGATGCATCCATTTACGTAAAAATGTCTCAAATTTTTCTTTTTTATGGCACAGTAGTAATCCTTTGTATATAATTAACACATTTTCTTTATCCACTCATCTGTTGACTGGCATATGGGCTGTTTCCAAGACTTAGCTATTATAAATTGCGCTGCTATAAACATACGAATGCATGTATCACTATGGTATGATAACTTTAACTCTTCCAGGAAGATACCTAGAAGGGAAAAAGCTGGGTCAAATAGAACCTCTAGTGTTAAGTTTTTGAGGAATCTCTGTAGTGATTTCCATTGTGGTTGTCTGAATTTACATTTTCGTTAATGATAGAGAAGGATTCCATTTTCCCCACAGCCTTGCCAGCATTTGTTATTGGCTGATTTCTTGATGGCAGAATTCTTTCTGGAGTGAGATGAAATGTCAATGTTGTTTAAATTTGCATTGTGCAATGGCCTATAATGTTGACTATTTTTTCATGTATTTATTGGCTGTTTGTACTTTTCCATGTGAGATGTGCCTGTCCATTTTACATGCCCATTTTTTTTTTATCATGTCTGTAAATTTGGGGGTCTAATTTTTGGAGCTCTTTATATAGTCTAGATATTAGACCTCCTTCTGAGGAGTAAGTAACAAAATATTTTCCCATTTTGTAAGTTGTCTCTTCACTCTGTTCATGGTTTTCTTTGCTGTGCAGAAGCTTTTTAATTTGTTGTGATCTCATTTTTAAAATTCTTTTTGTTATTTTCTGTCCAACCAGGCTTTTGTTGATGACTTTGTCTATACATATATCTTCAAGAGTGTTACTTATTCTGTCTCTCAGCTGATTTTTTCAGCTTTAATATTTAGATCTTTGATCTATTTCAACTTGAGTTTAGTACACTGTCAGAGATATGAGTCTAAGTTTAATCTTTGGCATGTGGAAATCCAAATTGTCCTGGCACCACTTTTTGCAAAGGCTATCTTTCCTCCAGTGAAGGTGTTTGCCCTGGCAGAGAGGGAGTGTTATAGGAGAGGATATTTGGACCAGAGTGGGAAGAATCATGGGTATCATGAAAGAGTGCTAGTGCAAGCACAGCCCTATTTGTTTTTTACTCACTTAGTTTCTCAACCTTCAGATACTACTTTAGTCACCTCCTCTGCTTTGAGGCTTCAACTCCTTAAATTCTTCTCCAATCTTCAGACTGATATTTCTGGTTTCTTGTCAGACAGCTCTATTCTCATCTTCAGTAACTTTTGTAGCTACTACTTTCTACTCTGTCCCACTCTTAATTTACTTTTCCTAAGTGTGCAGAGACATGTAGAGTTGAGAAGCAGAGGCTCTGGATCCAGCTTCCCGTACATGAGTCCCTTCCTGTGCCTCAGTGATTCTCTTAGTCATGAAAACAGGACAGCCAGAGTATCTGCTGTAACAGTGGATTTTGCAAAATTATAGGGTGTTTCAGGGTCTCCTAAAGTCTTATTGCAATTTTAATTTTAATACCTTCAGTGGTACAGATGTTCACAGACAAAAAAATATTGAAGGTGACCAATGTTGAGTGAAATAGTTAAAAACATTCAAATTCATAAATCAAATACGTTTAAAAGAAATGAGTGGATATACTTTGAGATCATAGCATTAAGTGAAATAATCAAACACACAAGCATAAATATTGTATGTTTTCTGTCATATGAGAAACTCCAAAAATATATAACTGTAGAGCAAAAAAGAGAAAGATAAGTAAGAAGTATGAACATGTTTTTCAAATGGCTGTCAGGTGCAAGACACAGAGGTGGGAGGAAGGAGGGAAGAAAAGGGAATGGAAAAAAGAATTGAAGTAATTGAAATAACTTTTAAAGGATGGCAATTCTTTTTTCTGTTTATGTTGTACTCCAGATGGAATCCAGGACATGATGCATACTGTGCAAGAGCTCCACAACTCCACAACATCCCAAGCTGATTTTACTTTTTATTTTAAGGCAGGATCTCACTAATTTGCCTAGACTGGCCTTGAATTTGTGATCCTTTCTTCTCAGCTTTTGTATCCCTGGGATCATAGGTATGTGTAACCACATCCAGCATGAAAAGGTGATTTTTGTAATGCATGTGTTATGCTTATATTGATTGGAAGAAAAATTTAAAATGCATTATTCCAAAGCATGAGGCTTATTCATCATCTAATAACTGGAAATCACTCACTGTGTCATCTACATTGTCCTAATATCTCTAGTTGGTTCTCCGTTATCTTTCCACAGTATTGGCCAATCTTCACTATTTCTTCCTGCACTTTTCTGGTTGAGCACAGTAACTGCTTAACTGACGTTCCTGCCTTGAGTGGTTGAGACAGGCCTTCTCCATTCCCATCCCCACTTGTAGCAGAAAGTCTTGAATTTGTAGAGACTGGAGATGGGCATCTCTAGACCCCATTTGCTACCATGCATTCCAAACTCTTGTTCTGCTCGGCTGTCCTCTTGGCCTGTTATAGCAATGGTTTTTGCATCTGCTTGAAACTCTTTCTAAGGACCCATGTCAGGCCACTAGCATTTACAATCCCTATATCTTGGTCCTTCAAGGCCAATGTCATATGTAGAGTCATAAACATCTGGAAATAGCTAGAGACAATGTAAAATGCCAGGAACAGGGAAATGGTCAAATTGTGCATCAAACCATTATCTATGGCCATGTTCTTTGTGTAGGGAATGTTATATGACTATTCAAATTGGTGTTTCATCAGACTTCTTAATAATAAGAGAAGATGACCTTGACACATTAAGAAAATAATGCTGATTATAGGATAAAATGTGTAATATGGTTCAATTTTCTCAGAGAAACCTCCATAGAAAAAGACTAGGATGATTTACTTCAATTCTTAATGATGGTTATGTCAGAGCAATAGAATTCTTATTGGTACTGATTTCATCTGTTGCTTACCTACATAGCCTTATTTACCTGCAAGGAACACAGGTTTTATGGTAAGAAAATGTCTTAAAAATCTGAAAACAATAGGTAAATAAATGGAATATTGCTTTCTTTCAAAATCTCTCCTTTTCTTGTCCATGTAGGTAATCATTCCCTTCCTTGGGTCACCGTGGTAATTTGTCCATACCTGTGTTATTGCAAGGGTCACTGTATTGTTATTATTGGATAGATGTCTATCTATTCTCTCAGTCTGGAGTTCCTTAGGGCAGGGATTGGTGTATGTGTGTGTGTGTGTGTGTGCGCGCGTGTGTGCGCGTGCTGTGATTTATAGCATCTGGTTCATAGGTGTGTTTTTTTTTTTCTGTGCTGGGTACAAAGCCCAGGTCCTTCTACATGCTAGGAGAGCACTCTGCCACTGAGCCACATCCCCAGTCCCAAATTAGTGTTTAATGAATATTCATCAAATGAATTATATAAAGAGGGTGAGAGACTCCCACTTGTAGTGAGTGATCAGTATTGCAATGTAGGCAGGGAGCTTGGACATGGAAATTCAGTGTTGCTGGGATTGGAGGGGTGTTAGTAAAATCTACCTAATGATGTCAGTTTTATAGGGAGAATAGTGAACTTCCTCTGAGACACATGCATTCTGAGGTGATGGAGGAAGATCTCAGGGCCAATGTCATTGTCATGAAGGCTCTGAAGCAGCTGAATGCAAAATTTCTGAGGGTAAAAACATGTTGCAAGAGGAGGAGTCAGAGGTCTGCTTGACTGTTGGAGAGGGTGAAGGCCATGCGAAGGTAAGTGTGAAGGTGGCAGAGTGTCCAGCAGAGAAACCATGTGGGTTTCACAGAGGTACGAGGTGTTGGAGAACACTGTACAGTGGCTCTGAGTAGTGTTTAATATTAACCGACTGGCTTTCCATGTTTACTTGTGAGTTGTCCAAAATTTAGGACCTTGTGTGAAGATAGGCAGCAGATTCATAGTAAGTGAACCTCTATGAGTCACTGGTCACCCTGAGGCCTGCATTGGCCTGTGATTCTGTGATACTTCAAAGGACAAGATAAGGCCACAGCTGAGTATGTTTGGCTCCAACCCCAGTGAACTAAAAGACGGCAAGTGCAGGCTCCACACTTCTGCAATAAATGCCAGCCTAAAGAGAAGGTAGTTCTCCTGATTGACATAATTTACTACTTGGGAAAATATTTCCCAGGGTCCTGCTAGATTCTCATATTTTCTTGAGTATCCTCCTCCTTTGTTTGAAAACCTAATAAATATAGGCTGCTCAGAGAAGTCTTTGTCTTAACCCAGAGAATCTCAAATTCAGTAAGAAAGGTAGATCCTCTTGGAGCCCTGAAATAATTTCAGTTGTCTCGTTTGTTTAAGTCATCACTGTCTACTCGTTTGGGAGATTATGGGCCTGATCAGTCCACAATAACTAAGAGTTATTAACCCAATAGGAGGAGAGGCAGTAGGAAAAGGCAAGGCCCTGTCACAGCATCAGGCATGCAGAGCATCCAGGGTGACAGAGAATGGTAGTCAGATTGGGCAAGTAGCAGTTACAGGTGATGTCCACCCTTTATCCTTTTTCCTAGGAATTCAGCAATGGTTGTTATATTGCATATTGTTGTTTTCAAAGTAGTTGTTCAGATTATCAGATATAAGTATGCAAAATTTGTCAAAAAATTTAAAGATTAACTGTTCCTTTCAATAAATCGATAGAAATTTGCAGTACAATAATCTTAACCATCCTCTGTGTGTGTATATATATATATACATTCTATGCTTAAAACCTGTAGTAGTGAACATGCTTCTCTGCTCAGGGCATGCAGTTTCACGGGAAGAACAGAGGAACACAGAGTGGGGTGTGGCAGGATACTCACACAGCTATCCCAGGGCGCCTCCGTTCTTGTTTCCGCAGGTCACTCTCATTCAGCTGAAGCCACTTCACGTGATTGCAGAATTTAACACAGAAGGTGACCAGCAGGAGTTCCCTATCTGTACGGACACACACTCTTCTTTCCTGGAAATGGGCCATTTCATGTGTCACGAGCTCCTCATCTTGAGTCTCATACAGATAATGGAAGAAGTTCAGATAGTATTGTGACAAAAGTATGCCATGTGGCCTGACTATCTGTAGCAGCTCCCAACTCCTTCTAGGAAGCAACTGGCAGGAGAAGATCTTCTTCATCTCTTTGGCCCCATAATCACTTAAAAGGCTAGACAAGAAGCACAAGATTTGTATTCTTGATGATTCAGGCCATCGATACTCTTTTAGCAACTGTGTCATCCATCTGAGACTGAAATTATATTTATCTGTATGCGCTGAATTTCCCAACACACAGGACAATGCAGCAAAGAACTCCTGGAAACACTGGTGAGTGAAGCTGTAGCTCAGAGTATCGGGGTGCTCTTGAAGAAAGCCTATCTTCAAGAAGGTGGTAATGAGGGCCCCTTCTAACCCGTGCTTACTCAGTTCATTTGTACTGAAAAGGGTCTTTCTTCGCCAGATTCCCTCAGCAGCCAGAGAGCACAAGCACCTAAGCTGGATCTCTTGGAGTGCAGTTGGGATAACCTGGGAAAGGTAGTGGAGAAAAAGGCCTGTGGTGGTCTGAGAGGTCAGGGGGTGTACTTCGCCCTGCTCTATCTGCTGCTGCAGGCAAGTGCAGACCAGCCAGCACACCCAGGGCACAAGACACTGTGCCAAAAGCAATGGGTTTGGTTCAACTGCACTAAATGCTATAATTGATTGGCTTTCGTCTGTGAAATATTTCTTGAAATAGTCCTTCCTTCCCCACTCAGAGAAGCCTAGGACTTCCACCCAACGTGGCTTCTCCCAAGAATGAGGGAACATTTCCAGAGATGTGGTCCGAGCTGTAATCAGAAAGAAAGCCCTGACAAAAAGGAGTGACTGTAATAAATGGTCCAGCACTAGACGTACTTGAGGTGAATGGCTCAGCTTTGGTTGGGCCTGCAACCTCAGGCCTTTAGAATCTAGAAACCTCAAATTCAATTTTGGCTGATCCACATTGTCCAGGATGAAGAGAACCTGTTCTGGAGAAGATAGGATGTCCATAATGGGAACTGCAGTGGAAGCCCAAGATGCTGCAATCACCTCCTCCATGCTGTTTACCTGGCACTGGGGTAGGTCTCTGCAGTTGAAATAGAAGACATACCGGAAGCGGTCCCTGAATAGCCAGCCTTCCTCCCAGGCTCCTCTCACCTGCCTGGCCAGTGTTGATTTCCCAATTCCAGCAGCCCCATACAGTACGACTCTGTGAGATTCTTCTTGGGTACCTGGGACAGGCCCAAATAAGTCTTGGATCTTAATCAAATGTCCTTGCCCCACCTTTGACTCATAAATCCACATTTCCCTGGCCAGGTATTCTTTACTTCTAAAGTGGGGTGTACGTAAAAGTAGCAGCTGTGTAAATTTTTCATGAAAATATTTAGTTTCCCGGGACTGTGTTGGGCAGGACTTCTCACTTATCTTGGGAAAGTTGATTGGTTCAATTCCTATGTAAGAGAAGTATGAAACTTAAAGTATGAAATAGGAGGATTCATTCATTCATTCATTCATTCATTCATTCATTCATTCCACAACTGTGCCAATGTTGGCAACCGCTGCAACTGATAGACACTGCGCTGTGTGCAGAATTTGGTGTGTTCTGTCCAGTGCAATGGATAGGACATGGACTCTGGAGTATGCACTAGTTCACTTGACCCAGTCCCATTTCCTGTATGACCTTCTTCTATTTTCAAACTTATCAAGGGCTTACTAGATTTCGGATACTTCTCTAGGGAGTGGGAGTAGCGAGTGAACAAACAGAGACAACTCTTTGGTCTGATTAACCGTAAGCTTCGGATCACTAGTCCCACCAAACCTGTGTTTTTTCATCTGTATCTCAGAGCTTGTGATATGCCCCCTGCAGGAGGCCCTGTGGTGAGAATTGAGAAGGGAGTGAACTGTGAAGAGCTGAGGTTCCATTTCAGTCAGATTCCAATGGGTGCAATTGTAGTAACCCTCTCCATATTGCTGTTCTCCAAAGTTTGAATGCCAGATTTTGAATTTTAGCACGATGCAGGTGACCTACTGGGGATGCTGAAGCCCAGATGCTGCATCTGTGATGCAAGATATAACTGTGCAGGTACATCCAGAGTTGTCTCTTTCTGCCTATCTCTTTTTTAAAGATATGCCTATGAAGATCTGGGTAGAATTTGGAGTGAAAGGTCAACTGACAATTTTAGGCTTTGGGAGACTGAGGAGTCAGGGGGCCCTGTTTCATATGACCTAATCTATATGTGTTTTTTATTGTCTTTGGTGGAGACATTTCTGACAATGTGAACATTTTCTAAGCCTGCCAGAATGACAACACAGGGTCACAGTCGTGGTCTGCCTTTCTCAGGCCCTGTCTGAGGGGACAAAAGAGAGCTTAGCTCTTGTGTCACATGTTCCAAACCGCCTACTCACGGATCTGCGGTCATTCACATATTAAATCCCCTTGAATCAAATATACTCTTTTCTTACTTTCTGAATAACATGAGGTGGGTGTTAACCTCATTTTTAAAGCCACTCAAAGGTAAATTTTCTTTCGTAGTAGCTGGTCTGAAATTCTTGGAGGGAGTACGGAGTACATTAGGCCAGAAGAATTTGATGACAGACTTGTAGTGGAGGGGCACAGTGCACTCTCTATTTCAAATAACACTGAGGTTACGCTTGCTATTCAAGTCAAGGGAGTTCATACGTGTTGCCAGGCACAGTCTTGTCAGGCTCTGAAATGCTAACCATGCAACATGGGAGCAGAGGAGAATTGTTCTGTGTGTTAGAGAAGGGAAAAGCTGGTTAAGTGGGTTACTGCAAAGGGAAGGGCAAGGGAGAAGAACGCTGCTGGGGCCATAAAAGGAAGGCATATGGGAAGAGGTGTGAGCAATATAGCCCTTCTTGCTACATAGTCAGTAGAATACTTACTCAAACTTTTATACACGTGCATATTTCGTGTACAACTTAGAGAAGTGGAAATTCTGTACTGGGGGATGGTTTTGGTATGCGGAGCGCAAAAGAGATGATAGAAAGGCTCAGATGAAGCAAATGAGACATAGAAGGGTGGAGTGACTTGTTCCGCATCATACAACAAGTTGTGATTTCAGAGGGAAACCTGAAGGCTATAGAGTTACCACCATTTCCAGGGCTTGGGGGTAAGAGGGGTGAGACTGAGCACGGAAAGACGGGGAAAGTGAGGGAGGGGAGTTGTGACTTTCACAAAGTAGCAGCAGGGTGGAGTAGAAAATCGCTTGCAGTGGCATGGAATGTCTAAGGTTCTAGCCCAGCTTCTACATTAAGTGCTTGGTGAGCTTGAACAAGTGAACTTCTCTGTGTAGTCCTCTGCACTCAGAAGAGGTGGCCACTTTGAAGGTGGCACGAGAAGAGGAACAGACAAGGGTGTAACTGAGGTTTGTTGTCTGGGACTTGCTGACTTAGGTGGGAGACCAGGGAAATCAGGTGAAGGGATTGTCTGGTGCTGAGGAATGAGCCTAGCCTCTCGGTGGATTCTATCTGGAGAACAAAATCCTCTTTTGGAACTTCTGGATCACCTTGACCTCAGGGATCATCAGCACCCACAAAATTACAATCTGAGCTCTGCCTCAGTTAGGTGAGACTCAGTGCCAGACCCTTATAGGTCTCAGTTTTTCCATGTGTGAAATGGGTAGAGGAACAGTCTCAGCACAGGAAAATCCCTGAAAGAGCATTTGTAACCCTGTTATACTCATCACCTCCACACAACTCCGTGCTTCCTCTGCACTCCTCCAGCCCAGATCCCAGGCAGGTACATGCTGACCTGCGGGGATTCAGTGGCCAACACACAGCCCCATGCAGGGCTCTCAGCTGGAGTCATCAAGCCTTACCTTTGCTGTGTACAGATTTTTCAGATGGCTGTGTCAAGGACTTTTTCTCTGATCCACGAGCCCCTGGTTTGGAAAGGGAACATTTAAAGGGTACCATGTCAGATGTACTTGTGGATTCAGTGAGTAAAGGAGACTAAGCTATGGTAAGGATATAGAAATTGGATCTCAACAGAGGGCAGGAAGAGAAGCCTGGGAACCAAGACTGTATTCCTGATAGCAGTTAGGTCCCCTGTCTCAGCAGAGAGAGGTTAGGAGGTACATGTAAACCCGCTGAACCTTACACAGATTCTTTCACAGACACGTGCAGAGAGTGATGCTTTCATAGATGCTACCAGGCCAAATGTCCTGATGTGGCATTGAGGAAATTTGTGTAACTGCTCTGGTTGTATACTACATCTCTGTGTAAGATATTGTTCGTTCTGACCCTCACCTCTCCAACATGGGACTAGGAGCTTCTGCCTCTCAGGGTTACAAATAGTAATAATAGGAGAAGCAGTAATAGCAGTAGCACATGTTTACTGTGCATATTGTGTAATAGTTTCTGCTAAAAGTTCGATGTGTTTCATCTTTATTCACCTGCACACATCCCAAACAGTCAGGATCTTCCTTTTGCATTTTTTAAGTGGAGAAAGTAATAAAGGAACTTTTACAGGGTTGTAGTACTAGGACTCGGACCTACTTCTCAGCTCCCAAGTCCATGTTCATAAGTACAACACTGGGCAAGTTTTCCTCTTGGGCTTGACCACCATGCCTGTCCCTGCCGGAGCCCTTTGGAATGCCCTCCTCATTTTACTCCTGTCCATCCCTCCCAGGTGCTGTGAGGACCATATGTGGGCCTGGGAATGGACTCTAGTGGATTTGGATTTGGGGCTATGTGGTCCAGCAAGGAACACAGCAAGCCTCCCATTTTTACTCTAGTGTGGGACGTGGATTGTCCTTTGACTGTGCAGTCTCTCCCACTACCCAAAGGAAGACCTGGTTGGGGAAGGTGGGTCAGTGCTGGTGATGGGATCCACATGGAGTGCTTTGATCTACTCACCCCATGTCAAGAATACTTCTCTCCTGGCCTTATCACACAGAACTGTAAGGCCCATCTGCTCCCAGGTTTTGATGGCCAGATCCCATGCCTGCTGCTCTCCATATTCAGCCACCAACCACAAGGCCACCTCTCTTCCACTTATCTTCTTTGCTTGAGCTGCTGTTGTTGTAGGAGAGATCCTGAGGAATGTTTTGTTTTGGAGCAGAAGCTGGAACTCCTTTAGCTCCTCTTTCTCTAGTAGGTCCAAGTAATAGACCAGTAGATGATACTTTCTTTTACCAGCCATTTTCGCTCTATGCAGGTGAGCCTGGAGAGAACGTTCATGCAATGTGTGGGTGAATGGGCACATGTTAAGGGAATCAGGCAGGCAGAGAACTGGGGTCTCCCTTTGCTTTGGTCCATAGAATCTTCCAATGCAAGGCTCTAACTGGGATACTTTTTCTTTTCTTGCAAGCTCCTTGCAGCATTTAGAACCCAGTTTTTAAAACCCTGGAGCCTTTGCTAATTGATGATACTTGGAGAAGTGAAGGAAAGGGAAGTGGTAGGAAATGCTATAGTAGGGGATGGATCCTGGAAGGAACTGAGAGACACTGGAAGAAGTCATATTATGTGATGGTGTTGGGGCAGGGCCCAGATCTAGCAGGATGAGCAATGGAAAACAGGAATGGAAGGATGAGGGATGGGAACATGAGGAGATGGGGTGTGAATAGCACTCACTGATTGTTCTTCTTCAGCTATCCCCACTGCCTCAGATATTTCCATCTTGACTCCTTGGGATCAACCCTTGAACAGCTTGATGGCTGGAGGTGAGGAGGTGGGAGACACAGTGCAAGTGGTGGCTCAGAGTCCCAGATGGCACTTAAGGCTTCCCATCTGTGATTCTCTTCAGAACTCTCCTAATTCTGGGACACCAAGCAGAGAGCACAACCTTATTTTGGCCACAGGAGGAAGGACAAGTTACCCAGAGAAACCCCTGAATGGCATGGCCAAGGAAGGGCCAGGAAAGGCCTAGGTCACAGCAGATATTGATGTGTACGGGCACACGCAACGTCCTCCTACCTGTCCTCCAGTGCAGTGATGGCCCACCTATGGCACACATGTTTTAGTGTTTTTAAGATAAAAGATGCTTAGTTTTTTCAAAGCTAAAACCTCAGTATTCAGATTTAATTGGCAGTGTTGGCCATTTGTGATAAATAACTGGGTTTGGGGTGCCGTTCGATACTTATCTCTAAAGTGTTTGCTATCACAGCACTAACAATTGCTGTAAATGCAGGTGCAGGCTTCAGTCTGGGGCTGGGGACCAAGGCTCTGTCTCTCAGACTGGGTGGGATCTCCATGTCTGCCAGACAAGGTCCTTAGTGGAAATTCTGTACTGAACTCTGAAAGAAGCACATAAGTCTATCCTAAGAAGGTGGGAAAGATGCTCCCTGGCCTAAGAGATCCATGTTGACATCATTAGGCCTCATTTAGATAGATCTGCATTGGGGCTGGGGATATAGCTCAGTGGCACTGTCCCTGCCTGGCAAGCATGAGGTCATGAGTTTGATTCCCAGTACATTAAAAAAGAAAAAAATCTGCAGTTTTGTTTGGTCCCTATGTTAAAAACGAGCCCTTGGGGCTGGGGATTTAGCTCAGCGGCACAGCGCCTGCCTGGCAAGCACAAGGTCGTGAGTTCAGTTCCTGGTACTGGAAAAAGCAAACAAATAAACAAACAAAAAAATGAGCCCTAAGACTCATTTTGTTGGTGCCAGAAAGAATGCACTCACACAGCAAGCAAGAGAACATGACCAGGTAAAGTGTAAAGTTTACTTCTGCAGAAGGGAGCCAGTGCACTCAGACATGAGGCAGCAATTGCACAGCATGGTGGGGAAATGGGGAGTTTTAAGGCCTAGTGCATGGCAAGCAGCTATCCATTAAATTCATGGGCTGAATTCAAAGGCTTACAATCTATTGTGATTGGCTAGTTTAAGGGGCTTGAAGGGTGAGCCTAAGGAGCTGTAGGGCAGGCTTGTTAATGGAGGGCAGAGGGTGTAGGGAACAGAAGTCCTTGGCTATTGATAAGCTATCTTGGTCTGTAACTATGTTTCCACATTCTGAAAGGGCAGCCATTTCTTGCAGTTTTGGTGTGGTTCAAGAGGGGCTGCCTAGGGTGGACTAGAGTGTAAGATGAAGGCACTCCTGTTCATATTCTTTGATTGAAAAGACAGACCTACAGTTTCTCACATCCTTAAGAGGCTTCAGTCACCATCCTCATTCCAATTTAAACTATGTCAGTTCAAAAACGCTTCCTCCCAACAGAGAGCTGGTTCCACTGTAGACTGGAAGAAGCCCAACTAGTCACAAATCCTGAGCAGCTGCCGGATTCTAGGAAAAGCAATAACAAGCTGGTTCTTGGGGCAGTGACCACCTCTGGTGCTGCTCTCTCAGAATTCTCACAGGCGTAACACCCACAATAAGAGTGAACTTTGCTTAAGTGTATGCTTTTGTTGTTATCCGGTCAAAAGCTTATTACTAACTGCTACTTTCTCACTGAGTCTTCTGGGGCACCATTGCACGTCTTGCTTGTGAGGTCAAAGAACAGAGGCACCAGCACAACACAGACAGTGCAGACCACCAGCCCTGCCCAGACTGACCCCAAATTCTCGTAACACAGGGAGTTGTGTGCACCAGGGAGTGTGACAAACATTCAAGTCTAGGCAAGTCCCTCAGTGCGTCAGACAGTGAAAGAAGCGCATACACTTCTGTGCTTCTGATGGAGTTCTATACTGGAAGGGGTAACTGTTGCAACCTGGGAACCTGCCAGCATCCTTCTGAATGCTCTTCAGGTCTGGCCCCTATAGTAAACCACAAGTGATGGGTCTCACTGCTCACCACAGAGCACACAACTGCCAGCTGCACTGACTTCCTTGGCCAGAATTCCTGGAGTTCCATGCTTTATGAACTTCTCCATAGGCCTGTGACATACCCTCTCCTTTTTTACCACAGTATCCCCAGACTGTCTTCTACCCAGTCACTAGAGCAGGATATCCCAAGGGACTCATGATTATAATTGTTCCATGTTTTCTAACTCCCAGAGTCACAGGGTCTCAAATAAGAGGCTCCCCTTCAAGATGACTCCTGGTTATAGCCCTCCAAGGTATGGAAAATGGTGTAATGGATTTCTTTTCCAAAGCTAGCCTGTTATTCAGGAGGAATCACTTTCAGACTAAATCTCTGTGCAGAACTTAGAGCATCTAAGAACGGGAGGTTTCTTCTATAGCTAGGGTTGCCAACCTGTTGTTATCATAGGGCCAGCTGCGCTTCCCCTGTGCTTGTGGAATAGCCTTTCTCTTCTCATGCAGGCCTGTTTCATGGATATGCACTGGGAAGGCCCAAAGGCCAGTGGTGGAAGCTAGAAAGTCTGTGCCAGCAGGGTGAAAGATCTGTGCTAGCAGGCTGAAGGATGTTCACTGGAGCCAGGAAGCCACGCTCAGTGTAAGAACCAGAGCTCCCCAGAAAGGTACCACAGCCATCCTCAGTGACAGTGAGGTCCTGAGCTCCTCCAATGATGACAACAGCTGAGTCTATACCAGGAAAGCCAGTGTGAGAAGCTTGTCCTGGAGACTAAACATTGTACCACCAGGACCAGAGCTCCCCCAAAGTGAACTGCAGCCATTCTCAGGGGTAACAATATCCTGAGTTCCTGTGATGATGAGAACAGCTGAGTTCATCAGGAAAGCCAGCACGACAAGCTCCTCCAAGAAAACCGAAAGCTCCCTACAGCTTCTAAACTTCTTCCTCTCCACTTCTGCCACTTATGCTGCTGATGACAATCCTCAGGTGGGTCTCCCACATTGAGCCCCATGCTGGTTCAGTTCAGCTGGGTGTTACAAGTTGACCACCAGTTGTCAATCCACCACACCTTCCTAGTGAAGTTTGCCATGTATACACACACCCCTGTTAGCCCACAAGACCAAACCTCTAGCGATAAGCCCAATATCCAATCAGTCCTGTGTTGACTCTCAGGGAGATGGAGACAGGACACCTACCCTATAAAACAGGAGCTCAGCCCCAGATACTGCAGTGTCAGCTCCAAGCACCCTCATTCCTCCAGAGTGTCTTTTTCTGCTTCTTGCAATAACTGCAATTAAAGTACTTTCATTTTGCACTGCTCTTCTCTGCCTTCTCTTCCTCTTCCACGTTGGAGAGAGACAAGCCTGGAAAGGATGAGTCTAGGGACCCTCAACTCCAGACCCACCGGATATAAAAGGTTTGAGGGTACAGTCCTCTTTTTTTTTTCCCATTTCTTTGTGCTTTTAAACTCTCCTGTCACCTCTTTCTCAATTCATGTGATGGACACTTGTAGTCCTTCATCTTACCCTTGAAGCCTGACACTAAATCACAAACTTAAGAGTCTGGCAGCTGACCCACACTCACTGACCAAACACCCCAACTTGGACACTACCCCTGCCCAGTGCCTCCTACTGCCCAACCTAAAGAACTCCTACCAATGGCTTCTTGTGGACATGGTAAAATGTATCTTACACTGTCAGGATAAAACCCCAAGTGCCACCCAAAAGGTCCATCCGCGCTCCATTCCTCTTTATGGGGGCTGTACTAGCCACCAGCGTGGAACAATGGCAAAAAGAGGTTTCTAAGATAAAAAACCCTTTAATGATACACAGTGTTTTCTGCCTAAACATATCCGGGGTCTTCTGACTGTGTGGAACCTCCACTTATCTCTGCCCACAAACTGGAGTGGAACAAGTACCCTGGTTTTCCTGGCCCCCAAAATAGCTATAGCCCCTGGACAAACTGAGCTCCTGGGCCCTGTGTAGACCTCTCTCAGATGAGAGCAATCAGCCCCAATACTCATACCTCTACTAGTAGGCCTTGGAATTGCCGCAGGCATGGGGATGGGAGTTGCAGGGGTGGCTGTCTCCACCACAGCCTGCCAGCAGTTCTTTGAAAAAAAGTCAAAGGGGCTTGGAAAAATTTGCAATTCTGTCTTGGCCTTACAAAAGGAAGTAGATTTCCTGGCCAACACGGCGCTCCATGCCCTGGATCTATTCACCACAGAGAAAGGAAGCACCTACATCTTCCTCAGAGAGGACTGCTGCTTCTACATTAACAGGTCTGGTTTTATCCATGAGACAGTCCAGAGACTCCAGGATCAAGCCACCAGGCTCAAAGAACAGGCAAATGATGGCTTCACTATGGGTTGGGGAGGAGGCTTCTTCCAAGCCACCTGGACATCGTGGCTTCTTCCAATACTTGGGCCCCTGGTCCCAGTCTTTCTGCTGTTACTGTTTGGACTTTGCATAATAAGACTCTTAACAGATTTCATACACGTACAGATCTAATCTATAACATCCAAACAGTTCCTCTTGCCTGCCCATTACACTGTGGTCCTGCAGGAATCCCAAGCTGACTCATAACAAGAACCCATAACAGGATCCTCATGCTCCTAGTCCTCCATTGCCTCACCCAAATCCTAACTTGTCATGTTGCCATCTGCCCAGCCCCACTCCCACTTCATTTTTTCTGTTTCTCTTTTCTAGGATGCCCGAGCAGCCCCCAGCCACACCTGAAGATGTCCTGAGAAACTGCACCACCTAACCCATTTCTTTTTCCATAACACAACAGACAGGAATCCCCGGTCTCCGAACTAGTAGTCTGCCAAGCTAGGAGAGAAAAACTATCCAAGCAGATCTCTGATTCTGACCTGCAGGATCATGGCATTCAAGTCAGTAGCTTCCCCACACAGTTCAACCAGCTAGTAGCTGCCCCACACAGCTCAATCTGCAGAGAGCTGATTTCACAAAAAACCACAGGAAACACGCTTTGCCTGCCAACTTCCCCATACTCAACACTGCCCTGTCTATCAGCTAGCCATACACTCCCTACTCAGAGACCTAAATCTTTGCACCCTGCTCAGCAATCACCTCTTCCCTGCCTAAACTCCCCTATAAAACATGCTCTGCCCCTTACTTAGGACCAATGGTTTTTTCACACTTGGTCCTGCCACACCTGACCTGCAATAAAGTCCTTGAACATTGTTTAAACTCTGCCCATTTGAGGCCGAGGCTATAGCTCAGCAGCACAAGCACCTGCCTGGCAAGTGCAAGATCCTGAATTTGATTGCCGGTATCACCCCCCCCAAAAAAGTTTGGTAAACTCTGCCTGTTTCCATGGTCTCAACTGTGCCTTGATTGACCTTAACACAGCAGAACTCCTCCACTGAGGACATCGGGACCAGCAATATTAAGCAATCGTAAGAAAATATAGTAACACTGAACAAAAACTATATAAGATAGAAACAAATCTTTTTTGTAAGATCTAGTCATTTTTTCCAATGTTCCCTGACCCATCTTCTCTCAAAGTCCATGGGCACAGATATTCTTATCTAAAGCTAAAAGACTTTCTGAGGGTGGAAGAAATGGTCTTGTTAAACTGCAACCTTAAAAATGAAACTAGACATAATGCATGCACCCTCGGAAAATCTAAAAGGATGAAAAACACATTCTTGAAAAAATGAAGTTTGCTACCTTGATCTCTTTCCATGTGCTTACACCATCATAAAAGCCCCAGAGTGAGAACCCTGATGAAATGATTCTTTTGCTTGAACTTTGTCTGCTGCTTCTCAAATGTGTTCTCTAACTCCACTAGTCTTATCTTTCCTCATGTTCTGGGTAAATACAGTACTTTTAATGCCTTTATCACAACCCCACGAGCTCCACTCTAGCATAGCAGTTTGCTGACCCATACGGGGACCCTCTCCTTACCTCTGTTGGGCTCTCTTCACTGGGGAGCTTGTGCCTGGTTGGGAAACCAGTCCATGAGTGACTGAAGTTCCCTGGTTGAGGCTACTTACTGTGGGATCCGAAGGCCTCTGGGCTTAGATCGGAACCACTGTAACATGCCAGGTATTCCTGCTAAGGGATGCCTTTCACTCCTGTGGAAAGCTCTACTTCCTGTTTACTACTGGCAGACCCTGTCCTGGGCCACTGATTGGTGGGACTTCCAGGAAGGCCTGCCTTGTCCTTGGGGGTAGAAGGTCACTTTTTTTTTCTTACTGTTTGCACATAGTACAGTTGGCAGCAGAAGCTCATCAAGGAAGAATCTGTTTATATTGTAAGCACTTCCCTTTAACAGTTTCACTGCCCTGTGCTGATTCTTTGCTCCGGCTGGCCTCTAGCTTTCCATCTCTCCAGGATGGTAAATAGCTCCATTCTTCTTGTGGCCTTTTCACAAGGATCTGTTCACAAGTCCTTCTCTCTGGTCCTGTTCAGTCTGACCAGTGAGACATAGTAGCTCTGCCTCACTTTGGACAGAGTGAAATATGTTACTCTCAAGGATCACAGGTAGTCTTTTATAGGGAGACACCTCAGATAAAAGCACATCTGGAGTGCCCCTGGGACAGGAGGTTTGTCACCTTTCAGGGATGCCTTCTGGGTGGGTGCAGCATTTCCATAGGATACTATTGTCTTTAACAGTCCTTATTTCAATGATGATGATGGTCTTGTGTCCTTACCACTTCTGACTCACCCTTTGGCTCCATTCTTAAGAACTGATCTAGGGGTTGGGGATTTAGCTCAGCAGCAAAAGCGCTTGCCTGGCAAGCGCAAGGTCATGAGTTCGGTTCCTGGTACCGGAGAAAAACAAAAAAAGAAAAAACTAAAAAAAAAAGAACTGATCTAAAATTTTTATGCTCTTAAGACATTTCTGGGAAAATGATACACCTTGAGTTCATACTCAAGTGAAATAAATAAGACAAATACCACATTGATTCTCTGGTGTGGTAAACTGAAAGTATAAACAAACACCACAATGAATAATAGGTATTGTGAAATAGGAGGAAAATGTTCAAGCAAAGAGGAGAAGAAGGGAGAGGACAGGGGGAAAGGAAAGAGGGGAAAAGTGAAAAAAATGCAAAAAGAAGGAAAACATGGAAACAAAAGCCTTTGTAAATGGAGAGGGGAGGGGAGGGGAGGGAAGTGGGAAAAAACCCAATATATATGATGTACAGGTACAAATTCTCTATGATGAATGTAATTGTTATGTATGTCTAAAATGTAGCAATAAAATCCTATTGGAAGAAAAAATTTAAAAAAAGTTTCATTCTCCAGGTCCCCCCACCCAAAAAGTCTCTTTTCCTGTACAACATTGCCTGGCTTCAACATAAGCTCTCAGAATGGGAACATTACTCTACATTAGAGAACCATAGTACAACTGGACCACTTTATCACACTCAGGCCATAGTTTCCAAAGTTTCCTATGTCCACTCCTTTATGGCTCTGTCACAAGCCTCTGAATTGTGAGAGGGATGCCACGTGACTTTTCTAAATGCTTCTGTCCTAATCTTGAAATGAATGTCTTTAACAGTCTTTATTTCAACTTTTCCCAAACTCCAAAGTTCTCTTCACAGAATAATCCTCCCCTGCACTGTAAACATTTTGTACCCTGATGCCCTTTCCTCCCTTTTGCTGGTTTATCTCTATGATATAAAAATAATGAAAGTATTACAAAAAAAACCTGTGCATGAGGCAGATGTGTGGCACATGTCTATAATCCCAGCACATGAGGCAGGAGGATTGCCATGAGTTTGAGGTCAGTCTGGGCTACATAAGTGAGTTCAACTCAAGCCTGTGCTACATAGTAAGACTCTATTTAAAAAAAAAAAATACCAAAACTACATGTTATGATTCACCTAAAAATAAAAAAGTTCTAATTTGTACCCCTCTAAGGAAAATTCTAACCTACCAGTCTATTTACAGTTATAAGCCTAGACCCAGGAGGCAACGGATTAATATTTTCCAACGTGGCCAGTAAAATTAAAAGTACACTATAGAAAGTCTGTCATACAGGAAGAAACACATTCAGACTAACACTCTGTGGGAGCCTAAAGCTTATAACAACTACTATAGGCAACTAAATTTGATAAAATATTATAGGTAATGAGCTAGAACTAGGCCCTCAAAGGATCCAGTGCAGAAAACAAGATACCTTGCACCTGTGGGAAAGACAGGCACCCCCAGACCTCAAGACAAAAGATGAAACAAGTGAACCCACATACTTTTTATACTTTCTAAGGGTAAACAACAGGGATTGATATTCTAAATAGGTATCTATCACCCTGAGAAAGCCAGGAAGAACCACTAACCCAATCTCCTGCAGGACAAGCCTCTGTTCTGTATTCACGCCCACTTGATACATGGCTTGCTTCCCTAATTGATCCTTATTTAACCAATTTTATCTGAGTAATTATACTCATAGACTTATTGGCTGACCATAGTTTTGTCTCACCTCATATCCATTTTGCAGTTTCCCATGTTTCCTACCTTGGACCCACCTCACATCATGGATTTGCTCTATAAAAATCCCTAGAAAACGCAGAGTCCTTGGCAACCCATTTGGAACCACTTTTTTCTCTCTCTCTTAGAGAGAAGCTTTCTTTTCTCCAGTAAATATATTCTGCTCTTCACTTCTGTTGTTCCTAAAATTCACTCTTAGATTTTAGAGAAAATGAACTTATACCGGATATCTAGCAAACTGGGCATTTCTTTCCCCTATAGCATTTGGAGGTCCCACAAAGATATTTGGATAAAGTTAAGAGTTTGCTTTGTTTCATAGACTCTGGATTGGGACAGGTTTAAGTAACAAATTTTAATGCTTCAAATTTTGTTATGTCTTTGCCCAATCCTTATAATTGCTTATGCTTTGTCTCTTATATAGTTTTGTTAAAATGATGATAAATCTAAGTTAAAACATGGCAAGGTTATAAAGTTATATTTCTTTAATGAGATATTTTTATTCCTGTTTTGTTCTTATATATGTTATGTTTGAACTAGTTACCAACTTCACTGGTATTTCTTGCTTGAATTTATTTAGACAATAATTATACAATAGCACTAGAGAGAGTAACGTTAAAATGCTCCCTGTGGACTTTAATATAAACTTCTGTGAAATGGGTCTTTTAAGTAAAATCTAGCTCAGACTTAGAAAAATATACATGCCTAAATAATAAAACATGGGACTCCTCCTGCCATTTGAAAGATTTAAAAGATGCTAAGTCAGTGGCTGTTCTTAAGACTTGGAGGACAGGTTTCACTGTGACAGACTGGCTCTGATCCTCCTTTACATTCTAGAGGGAATGTGAAACATATTTTGCTTCAGTTTCCTTTCTCTGGCTTTACTTCTAGTCTTTTCCTGCCACTTTGCATTTTCCTTTTTAGAGGCATGTAAATTAGAAAGAAAAGAATTCTAGACTGTTCCAACCTTTTCCTCCTATTCAATAACTAAGTTAAGTCCACAGGAAATGAGCATTTGCTAGCAATGAAGACAGGGAAATAATCTTAGAGGAGGGACATGTACCCCATCTGTGGGTCAGATGAGACATCAAAATTTGCCCATCTAGGAGAACACATATAAAAGCTATGTCCTGGCTTAGTGTTCTAGGCCAGTCTCCCTTGGGAGGCTGAATCTGAGACAGAGTGGAAAGAACCAACTTCTGGGTGAAACTAGAAAGAGCTATTTCCAAAGCATGACACTTATCGGACCAAAACAAATTTTGGTAAAGATCTCCAACCTTTCCTCTTCCCCTCCTAGGTCTAGTTATCATTTATGTGTATAGGAAGAGTACTTTGATAATAAGTTGAAGAATTTAACACTTTTACTGTAAAGTTATAAAGTGCTGGGTAATGATCTTGTTTAGGCTTTTAACTATCAGTTATAGAACTTTGACAAACAGTAGTTACCCTGCCTGCTAGTTAAGCACTCTTAGAGCAGGTTAAAGCAGAAGACAGATTTCCCTAGCATCTCCTTGGTGAATCCCCATTGAAGCCAATGGCCAATGGTATGTTGACCAGACAGACAGCTGGATTCCTTTCAGGAGAGTGATCTCTGGTTGTGTGGGCCAATAGAAACTGAGAACAACTGGGGAGTCATGGCCAGGCCTATCCTCTGGCAGATATCCAAATGTTCCTCAGTGCAAACTGGCTACCGACCACTGAAAAATCTCCACTTATCTGTCATACTTATCTCTCTCTGCTAGTAAACTAGAAATTCTCCCTAAACTTTCCAGTCAATTTTAGAACCACTTAGGCTACTTGTCATTTCAGAAATTAGGCTGAGGTGGCTTGCATCAACTGTTTACATTTCACAGCAGCTAGCAGGGGAATGATTTACATGTGTGCCTTACATATGCTAAGAGTAAGAAAGAGGTTTCAGTCAGCCTTTTCTTTCATGTGCGCTTGGAAGACTGATGTGCCTTTCTAACATGTGAAATGTGATTGCTAGAAGATAAATATAAGTTTAACCTGTGAGCTTCAAAAATCGAAAAAATATAGAACCTTTTCCTGTTGCTAGGAAAGATTGCTTAGGTGCTTAGATAGATAACACAAGTGTCTTGGAGACTTTTTTGCCCTAGGGCCCAGGATAGAATTCCTCAAGTCAATTGTTGCTTTTATCTACCTGCAGAGTGATCTCCTTCACAGCACAGCAGAAGAAGTGCTCTAAGTACTTCCAACTCACCTTTTTTATATCTACCCTCTTCCAAAGAACAAAAAGCAATAGTTTATTACAAAGTTATGCTTCCTTTCTTAAACATTCCTGTCACAATTGAGGCCAATTGTAAGTTCTCCTCATAGATGTCCTATAGAAGTAAGTTCACAAGCTCCTTGGGAGGATAAAATTGCACACCAGTTTGAGGGTAAATAGGATGCTTGAATTTTGTCTTCTGCTCTCTCCAGATGGCATCCATCTGCCCTGGAGTGGAGTCTACTCAAAGTACCTTGAGAGTACCTAAGTCAAATAGAAATCAAAGGGGGATGCCCCAGTTATTTCTTGTTGTATTTCAGACATGTGGTGCTCAAAGTCAAAGTCTCTTATCTCTTTAGAGTGAATTCTTAAGCACTGGAATATTTTAATGCTTACATATTGAAAAGAGATGTTTGATACTTTTCTGCACTCACATATAGCCTACCTACCCTTTAGAGGTAAAATATAATACAAAGGACGTATGAATTGTGATGTTCTTTTACAACTAAAATTATATGGTTAAAAAGAGGGAAAATGGTAAAAATTGCCTTATGTTCAAAACATTCTTTACATTAAGAGACAATTCTTATTTATGCTGAAAGTATAATTATAAGTCATATGAGACTACCCATGTTCATAGGCCTCTTTCTCTGAATGACTTAAAACAGAGCAAGCTAGACCTAGAAAATTGTTTAGATGACCCTGATAAGTACATTGATTTTTTACAGGATTTACTCAGACCTATAAGCTAGGCTGTAACAATATAATGTTAATCTTAAGCCAAACAGTGACTTC